CCCTCTTCTGGGCTCACTTGAGCAGGTCCACATCCCTTTTGTGTTGGGACCCCAGAGCTGTACGCAGTAGTGCAGGGGGGTTCTCATGAGCAGACTAGAGGGGGAGAATCACCTCCCTCAATCCGCTGGTCATGCTTCGCTTGATGCAACCCAGCTTATGGCTTTCTGGGTTGGGAGCACAGACTGCTAGCTCATGTTGTGCTTTTCATCACCCAACGATCTTTCTCATCAGGGCTACTCTCAATACAGTCTCCACTCAGCCTGTACTTGTGCTTGGGACTGACCCAACCCAGGTGCAGCACCCTGCACCTGGAAGTTTTGAATTTTGCCTTGAATGAGAAATATGATTGGCTAATTACAAATACTGAAGAAAGGATCTCAAGTATATGTCCTTCATACAGGGAATTCTGGTCAACACAATTTATCCTGGTTTGGCTTTCCATCAAAACAAATGGTTGAATTAAACCTATTATTTACCAAGATAACAAATACTTATATAGAGCAATGCAATAAACTCTACCATATGTTACAAGAAAAAAAAATATAATCAAAGAGATGATTGAATAAGAACATGACCATTGATGAAGATCTCTAGAAACAAACTGAGTCCTAACTAAAGGACAACATGAGTCAGTGCACAACTGCCCAGACAGTAACAGAGTATATTTGTATAATATTCTTCACAGGATCCCTCATGACTTGAACTTCAAACAAGCTGATACCAATTTTATTGACATAATTAGAACAAACAAAATAAATCAAGTGAATAAAGTCCAAAGTGATCTTTGCCTCTTGGATAAGATGCATTTTGACAGTGTATAAACTGCTATGATGATTTTTATTAGATACTGAAATGTATGCTTTAAGTACTGTTGTTAAAGTTAAATATAATCTTAATCTTATGTTTCTGAAGGAATATCAGTCTCGTCTTATAAAAGCAAAGCAGAGACAAAATACCTCTGCATTTGTAGAAGAGATGACTGAAAGAAAAAAAACAACACTGCATTTCTATGGAACTCAAAATTAAGGACAAATTCTTTGGGACACAGATGTAATACAAGTAAAGAAAAAGGTGTGCCTCAAAAATCTCCTAGATAGCCAATGGGCTACAGAAAATAGTCCTGTTAATATCAAGCTTGTACAGCAAGTTAAATAGAATTAAAGGCATTTATAGTATTTAAAGTGCAGTATTAATTCAGAAAAAAGTTTGAAGGTATCCCCCATCAACAGGAAATCCCCTAGAGCCCAGGGAAGTACAGCTTTTATAACAGTTTTGGAGAGATAAGATAGGTTTTGTATATATAGACTAAGCGGGTAATACAGTAGTATTTCATTATGAGAAGCAGTGGGACTATGATAGGAATGTTATTTCTCCTTGAGAAAATTAAAAAAGAACTTCACATATAACTAGAATGGGGGAAAGGAGCCTAGCAGAAATACCTACCAATTCACCATGTTTTTATATAGATTGGACAGTATGAATCCTGCAATGTTAACGCAGTTATATCTTCCCCTCTGCAAAAAGTCTCTTGTGGGGACTTGAGACTCTTCTTGGGAATTTCATGATTTCTGATCTGCGGGCCTCAGAAGTCTTAGGAAAAGAAAGGAATTTTGCACTTCTCAAGAGGCAGACTATGAGAGATCTCTCTGGAGGACTTGCTTTCTTCTCCTGCAACAGCAGTTGGCATTTACAATCTTTTCTTTCAATAGGAAGTTGCCATATTCATCCACACCATTTCCAATGCCAGAAAAACTACCAGAAATTCCAATTTCAGTTTTGATAGGTTAGAAAGCCAAGTGTCTAACTGCAAGAGGTTAGTGGGGCAGCTCTGGAAATAACTTATTAATAGCAGCTGACATGGAGCGCATCATAGAAGTGAAAATGCAGAGTACAGAACTCCAGACCTCAATTAATCACATTTGAATGAAGACACTCAGCCTCTCTCTTTCACCTGCTGACTGAAAATTGACACATCATTAGCAGCTCTGGCAAGAGCATCGAGCCTGGAAACCATTGTTAACTGTTGCCAGAAGATATCTGCAACAATATTGTCACTAAAACCTCAGGACAGCCCTTCCTAAGAGATTAAGAGGTCTTCAAACTAGTGCTGTGATTGAGGAAATGCTCATTTATAGAGCTCAAGTCAGACAAATCTATCTAGTGTGTTAAGGAACAGTTCTTTAAAAATTCTTTCACTGAAACACCTCCAGTCAGATAGTCAGATTTTTAGACGGCAATCTCCGGTTTCTGCTTCATCAAATTCAGTTCTACAAATAACAATTCTGATGTTCAATATTACCCTTACTCTTTCAAGTTCTTTTGAATTAGACTTCTTGGAAATGACACAAGTACTCTCTGTCCAGAACATGAGTGTGATGTAGCATCATCTGCCTAAGATACCCCAAAGCAAGATCCTTCCTTCTGTGCATAAACACAGTATTTACCCTTTCTAAAGGCCACCAAAATTTTTGATGTAATTTCTTCCAGGTAACTGAAAGCATAAAAAAGAAATGAACCCATGGTAAAATGAAGCAATGATAGCAATAATCCAACCTGGCACTCTGGAATCTCTGACCCTTGAGGTACTTTGATTTAACCGAAAGGCTCTGAGCAACCAGATCTAAGTGGGCCTTGCACAGTGGCTAGGTCCTGCCGACCAGCAGACAAGATGAACTTGTAACCTAAACCAATCCTAAGTGACACAGATTTAAGGTAACTAGAATCCAGCAGTTGCTTTACACCACTTGACAGAAACAGCCTTCAACAAAGTCTGAGAAAATGCTTAAGGAAAGAGCACTGAATGCAATTTTTGAGAAGGGCTCTAATGTTCTGCTTACAGACAATCCCACAAGGAGGGAGAGGGGTGTTAGAGACCAGCAGGAATTTTATCATGCTAACAAAGAATGAACAGAATTTCAAGACAGGTGGTCCAATAGAATGCCACCTACTGATGTGTTCTGGAAGCACCAGAACTCAGGGCAGGCATGGGTATCAACGTCACCCTGCTGAAAATGCAAGCACAAATTCCCAAATTTCAGAAAGCAGAGATAAAGACCCATAAAGAGGAGCACAGACATAAGAGTTCTGGATTTTGGGGAGATAATTGCCAAAAGAGAAACTCCTCCTGCAACAACACATTCCCTTAGTTGTTAGCTGCCAATGGCGTATTAGGCAACTGCTTGCCAGCTAAGATTTATACTTCAAAAGCAGAAACAGATCCTTCTTTACTGCTTAGACAGTGGAATTTGAAAAGCAGTAAGACATCAGCTTCTTTATGTCTTCCACCACAGGAGATAACAAGACGGGCCCTATTCTTTTGGCAAAAGTTGGAATTATTGCAGGAGTGAATTCACTGTGGATATTGGGTACCTCTGTCACAGGACTGTTCAGCACCAAAATAAAAGCCGATCAACTCTTGACAGCACTGTGCAATTTCCTGAGCAAGAAAATTCCAAACATAGGTACAGGTATGAGATTCCACAGCTACAGATTATAAGATTTTCTCTTATTACAGTGTCAACCCCTGTTTACTATATATAGTTTCACTTGTTTATTCAATATGCATGTGTACTTCTGAATTAAGGGTGTGCTAACGTTCACAGATGAGTGGGGCCTATGAGTAATTCTGACTCATTCGATAATTGCTGTGCCTCCAGGGCAGTTTCTGTTTGAATGGCAATATAAGGGTACATGAAGTAATCACTGAATACTGATGAAATTGTGCTTATTTGTGCTCTGGATGTGCTAGTTTGGGTTTTCTGTTGATTACAAAGGTCCTAAACTCTTGACCATTGTTACACAGCATCACAGCCAAATACATGACAGTACAGAAAAGAGTAAAGCAAACTTCATAGCATGCATAGACAAATATGTGAATTCGACTTTATCCACTCCCCTTGTTCATCCAATGCATGCAGAGTTTCTGAGAAAAAGATCTTAAAAAAAGCCATGCAAGGGCTAAAAAACCCCTAAGCTGTATTTTAATTATTATTCGCATACACAAACACCATCAGCCAGCTGCGTTTTTTTTATGATTATTATTGTTCTACATCTTCAAGCTAGACAATGCGTATAGTTGAGCTTCACAAAATGAGTTTTAACTTCCGAATTACATGTAAACAAGCATAAATATTTGCCTTAAAATCTGATGTTTAATTATCAAACAACTCAACTTTTCCTACCAGAAATGTTAGATAAGTTTGAATAAAATATATCTTTTCAGGGTTTTCTATTAAAATAAAAGTAAAAGTAAAATATATGCAAGTAAAAATACACCCTTTGGGTTACATTTCCTGCATCACTGCTTTGTTGAAATTCAGGAAATGGTTTAAACCACAACTGACCTTACATGATTAGTTCTGAATGGTTTACTTCTTTGTCACACTGATTTGTGACAATCACCTTGCTGCTCTGAAGTCATAAATCTCTGCAGAGATTATAGCATGCCTTTATATATATATATACACATATATATATATATAGGTATGCTACCAGAAACAATAATGATTTTTTTTATACTACCATGAAAAGATGGGAAATACTTAGGAGACACTTATGTTCATTGTTCTCTGTTCAGATATTTATGACTCTGTCTGGCGATAAAAAAATATAAATTACATTTACATATTTATGAGCATTTTTATGTAATACCTTCATTTCTATTAAAAGGCCATCAATATCCCTACATTAATATAACGCATCTCAGAAATCTAACTACAATGCACTTGGTTTTATCTTTTTCCCTAAAACCTTCCTGAATTAAAACAGTGAACAAAATACAGTATGAGTAGTGATGATTGATAAACAATGAAAATAGTCTGCACTTAGGGGCAATTACAAAAATCTTATAATAGATGATGGTATAATAGATCTTATCTATTATACCATAAGATCTAAAAATATCTTTCTCTGTTTAGAGAGGCAGAAAAAAAACTTGTGATGAAATATGTGAGCTGCAGAACCATGCAATGCAAATTGAAGAGTGCAGGCAGAAACTCACCTCTAGATTTGCTCTTTGTAGCAGCCACTGGAAGCAAGGAAAAGATTGCACAAGAAGAGAACAAAGATAGATTAGATAGAAGTTTGAGCAAGTAAGAATACAGAGAAACTTTATCACTATTGATTCAAAGCTAAGAATCACAGTTTCTAGGATTATTTGGCGTACTTGAGACACTGCAGTACTATGAGATAGTTCAGATCTATGATTCTGTCAGATGACCTGTGTTGAGAACTTAGAAAAATGTATCACAAAATTCACTCAGAAAGCATGGGAAGGAGTGCAGGAAAATCATGGACCATTAATCACAAGGAGGGGAGAACACATTTATGAATTCTAAAGCTTACAGCACAATTTGCCAAAAGTACATTCTGAAGTTCCTAAATCTTATGTCATTCCCTTGCTCCTATTTATTGAAACATCATTTGCCTGTGAAGCTGATGTAAACAAACATTGATTAACCTGCAGGTACTTGAATTATATATAATTATGTTACATGACCATTGGTTTTATTCATTGAAACCTCTATCATCAGATTGTTCTTGCACCATGCAAGCAAAAGGAGCAGAAAATACTTTAACAGTGATCAGTGTTCAAACTCAAGAGAAAAAGGGGCAGACACGACAGTCTTCCTTCAGTCTCCTGACACAACACAGTTTTATATTTTTAATTCTAAAGGCAAGATGGGGTCACAAAAATGACAATAGGAGCTCAAAAATTTCTGCTGCCAACTGCCCTACCGCCAAAATCAACAGAACCATTATTTTCTGTTTTCTGAGGTTCATGGATAATGCTGCTGATACACAAGAATAATCAGAAACCAAAATGAAAATGGAATCACTGTGAACTATAAATTACACAAAATATGCTATCCACGACTCTTTAAACTCTCAAATGCACTCTGAAAAGGCTTTCATTCAAGAGCATCTTCATGAAAAAAAACCAAAACAAAAAAAAAAAAAAAGCCCCCACTAAAACCCCCCACCAACCAAACAACAACAAAAAAAAAACCCTCAGAAAAACATGATTTATTCTCTGCTGGCCCTTCTAAGGAAGAACTACATTAACAATTCAAAGACAGCTACACTGTGACCAAAAGAGAGATAAAAACTAAAAGACCAAATCCCCTTTCTCTTTTTCTTCTCTTGATCACATCTAAAAGTTCTAAGTTGGCTTTTTTCCTTCTCTTTTTCTCTCTTCCTCTCCCTGCCCCCTACCTCTCAGTGTCTGATCAGGTGTCTCACCAGTCTTTACCAAGACAAGCAAGGAAATCATGGCAGTGAAGGCCAAGTTGCCATGTATGAAGACAGTGCCGAAGAAAAAAAAATCAACTTTTAACTTTACAAGTACATTTTACAATGTCAGTTCTCAAAGGTTTTTCCTTTTTAATTTTTTTTTATAAATTCATTTCTTCACTAATCCCTCTCCTACTTCTAGATGCACCATTCTGCATTGCCACCATTCTCCTGGCAGTGAAAATAAACCAAGACAAATCAGTCCCACTATGTCTGAAATCAGCATTCCACAAAACAGCTCTGCTTTGCGGAGGCACAACAAATGCAGATGTTTCAGCAGAACTCCTTCCATAAGGCCATTTAACAAGACATATTCACTCACAAAATAGCCAGTAAATCTTACATGCACTAAGAATTACTCTTGTAGTAAACAAAATTAATGGTGCCATTCTAATTTTATAATAAGTGAACAGTTTCTTCTTCATGCAAATATATGCTGATAATGAATGCACTGAGTTCATCAACCTGTTCAGTTTTTTTTGCTTCCCCTTCTTTTTCAGTCCTGAGAATTACATCTACATGAACCCCAAGCCAGAATAACCACTTAACAGAGGTCTGGAGGTCCTGACATACACACATTAACTTAAAAGCAATAGGAGACTTTATACCCACATTAATAATTCAGAACAAAAAGATATATATATATATATGAAATATGTATATGAAAATTCTATATGCACTTCAATAGCTCAGAATATATATACATGCATACGTAATCTATGTGTCTGGGTACACATATACATGTATATTAATCTACAGGCATGGTTACATATATATACATGTATATTAAAAGAATCCAACCATTCTATGATTAGACAGCTTTATCTTGAAGCATGAGATGGAGAATTATTACCTATTATGTATCAGTAAATAAAGAAGACATATAAATAAGGTTGTACATTATAATTGAAAGTAGGACAGGTTACTAAGCTTGTTACACCAATTATACTGCTCTGCAAATCCACTAATAGAGGACTAGATGACAGTAACCTTCTTAAAAATGTCATGTTTGATACTTGTAAGTTCTTCCATTGGCAGCATGGTCCAATTACAAGTCAATTTTTAAAGTTCAAACTGCACAACAGCCAAATTAGCTGAAAATGGTCTTTCAAAATGTAATTCTGCCTACTGAAGGGAGCTGTTTCCATCAACAATTCGTTCTCCTGATGGAGGGAAAATTCCCTCTTATTACCATCAAGTTCTTTTTCCAAATGTGAAAGAATTTTTCTCTCTTCTCTCTTACTTTCCTCATCACTGTGCACAGAGAAGACGATTTTCAACCTACATCCAGTAGGTTTGAAAATTTGTATCCCCCTCCTCTTATTACTGCATGAAAAGTCATAGCAGGAGACAAGGATAGATAAATGTTTCAAATGAGAATCATCAAGACTGAAATTCAGCAGAGGGAGGCTGATCTCTTGGTTAGAACCAGGTATGGGATAAATCATCTTTTTATGCCACCAAAGTCAGTGACAAAAGACCTGTAGGTTTCAACAAGCAACATAACTGTCAAAGGATCTCCATCTGCTTTACGTCTTCAGCAAGTCAGTTGAATGCTTTGCATTTCATGTAACACATTCACTTTTTCCCCATTAGTCTTCATTGCTTGCTGAGTAAAGAGACCACCTCTTCAAGGCAGCGAGTCTCCCACTTCTCAGAGTAGTGTATCAGCAGGACACTGTTTTTAAATTTCTGTAGTACAACTATAATAGAACAGGACTGGCCAGTAATAATTTATAGGCTCAATGTAACCTAAAACCTGGAATTCACTGTATTTGGCTGGCATTTACTTTATGTGGCAAAATTAATAAGCCAATCAGGAAATGGGAAAAAAAGGCAGCAACAACTGGTATATCCCCATGTTCAGGTATTTCTTTAAAAACCAGAACATATTTTCAGTGGTGTATTTCTTTAGGTACTCTGTCTTTTTTAGGAAGTTGATTTTTCACAGGGAGGTAATGCTACAGAAAAGTGTGAACAGTGAATTCTACCTTTGCTGGAATTTAAGGAAGATTTTAAGGACCAGAAAAGAAAGACAAACAAAATGGGAAGAAAGACCTTCCTCAGAAGTCAGGCTCAAAAGCATGACAAAGCTACTACCTTTCTAGATAAGACCAAGTGGAAAAAAAAACACAAACCAACAAACAAAACTCTTCTATTAATAGTTAGCTCTATCAAGATTAAACGATATTTTATTTTTTGAAGGCTCTTCTAGTCATACCATACGCAAAACAAAATGACTGGCTACTAGGGAAAGACCCAGGAGTGAGGGGATCACAGGGCAGCAAGACATCGAGGTCAGAGATCTCAAGAAGTCCACTCTGAAGGACTAGGAAAGGAAAGGAAAATGGTGACAAGTCCTGAACCATGGCAGTTATTTTTCACAGAACTAACATTTTTAGGGCATTTTGAAATCAGAAATGCATTTCTGCTGTAGCTGTGCTGCTGAAACAATGTTTTTAAAAATCATTGCCCAAATGTAAAAAGGTGGATTCAAATTTTAAAACCCCTAACATACCCTTCCTCTCAAATATCAATAATGCATTGTATTTTATTTTCCTGTAATACATCTTTCTGACTTCTTGCTTTCTGTATGCCAAAAACTGTTAAATTACGCTCTTTGATAAATGGTGGCTACAAGTTGTTCAATATTTTCTCCACACTCAGCTGTCTCAATGCTGTTCAATTTTGTGGACATTTTTAGACAGATTTGATACAGCATTTATTTTATTTTTCTCTTATATGTGATTTATTATTCAATTTGTGATTTTTTTGTCTTTGGAAAAAACCACATCCTTCCTATTACTTCAATAGCTCAATAAAAATAAAAAAGGGAGAAAGTATTTCTCCCAGATACTCAGATTACCCAACCTTTTATTTCAGAAAGTGAGAAGAAAGAAAAAAGTAAAAGGTTTGAGGTCAGAGTCTTGTTCTCTTTTCATCTATTACGTATACTGTGAATGCAGGTAGAGTTAAAAACAGTACAATATCTAACTGTTATAATGACTAAATAGCTCTTTTTAAGAAATAAAACAAGATGAAAGGCACACTCATAAAGCACACTGAATTGATTTTCTCCTGAATACAGTAGCTTACGGTTCTGGCAAAACTGGAGGTCCTCTCATCTTCAATAAAAAATATAAGCTATCAGCAATCTATAGAATGGACATACTTAGTCATCTGTAGTTTTATTCCAACCTTAAAACCTTTTGCGACCATCGAACACTAAAAATTATCAGAGAATAGGCCTACATTAAAAACCTCCAAACTAAACAACAAACAGACCGCCCCTTCCCAAGACCCCAACAAAAAAAATACAGATTTCAAATTTCAGAAGAAAACGATTTGTTTTTACACCGTTTCAATTTAGAATTTTCTTTTTAGGTTGATGATAACTGCACTTTATTTTTTAATTCATTTGGATAAACAGATGGATTATCACTAGTCATTTAGGTCACCTAAATACCAGCTCTGATTCTCTGACTGGAAAAGCTCTTCTCTGTGACAGAAGGCTTAGCAGGATCATTTTCTCCAGAGAATGATGCAAATTATTAGGCTCTCAGAAACTAAGAGACCCATTCCCCAGTGTGTGCTGTAATGCAGCATGCTTCACTGCCTCCTTTTCAACAACAGCATTTCCAAAGGCCACTGAAGGAGAGAGAAAACACCATCACCTGAAATTCTTGGTGGGATTTTGACTTTCCTGCATTCAGGAAGACATTGCTGCCTAGTCCT